CTAAGATCTTGGAAGATGAGTATAAGAGACTTGAAAAAGAATTACAGAAAATGCCACAGAAAAAGGAAATTAAATTGAAGTTGGGTATAACTAAACATAAAATGGAATTAATAGAGAAAGAAGAATTGGCGCAGAAAATTAGAAATGCTAAACAGAATTATTTTGAAGATGCAAACAAACCAGGTAGATGACTAGCATATAAATTGAGAAAAGAGAAAGAATCAAGAACAATATTGAAGTTAATAGATGATCAAGGCCAAGTTTGTTATGGTAACAAGGAGAAAAAGGAAATTGTTCGAGATGTTTATGGGCAACTATATAAACAAGAGAATATTGATGAAGAAAAAGTTAAACAGTATTTACAGAATGCTAACCTACCGAAGATGCCTAAAGAGATTGAAGAAATGCTAGAAAGCAACATAACAATGATGGAATTAACTGAAGCACTTAAGAAACAAAATAATAGGAAAGCACCGGGTCCAGATGGGCTTCCGGCAGAATTCTATAAAACATTTCAAGAATCATTGAGCATTCCATTGCTTGAAGTTATGAATGAAGCTATGTCAAAGAAGATGATACCTAAAACATGGTCAGAGGCTTATATTACACTTATTCCAAAAGAAGAGGCTGATCCACTGCAAATTAAGAACTATAGACCTATTTCTCTATTAAATGCAGACTATAAAATTTTTGCTTCAATTTTAGCAGAAAGACTTAAAAAATACTTAAATAATTTCATCCACCCAGATCAAAATGGATTTCTGCCAAAGAGACAAATCAAAGACAATATGAGAGTAATCTTGGATACTTTGGAATATTATGAGGCACATCCTGAAAAGCAAATGGCTTTGATATTTCTAGATGCTCAAAAGGCATTTGACAATGTGAACTGGAGATTTATGTTATTACTATTGGAACAGATGGGTTTTGCCAGAAAATTTGTCCATGCAATAGAAGCCATATACAATAAACAGACAGCAAAGGTAATGATGGAGGGAGAACTTACAGATTTTATTAATATAAGAAAAGGCACAAGACAAGGATGTCCCCTATCTCCTTTGCTATTTGTATTGACTTTGGAAGTGTTGAATAGAAATATTAGAGATGATAAAAGCATAAAAGGAATGAAAATTAAAAAGGAAGAATTTAAACTGCAAGCTTTTGCTGACGACTTAGTCTTTATTTTGGAAGATCCGTTAGAAACAGCTCCAAAGTTATTGGAAAAGATAGAGATATATGGTGAGGTGGCTGGTTTGAAAATAAATAAAGACAAAACAAAGATTTTGACAAAGAACATGCTACTGAGACAAAGAGAAGAACTGGCAGACCTGTTGAAAATCCAAGTTACGAATAAGGTTAAGTATCTGGGGATACATTTGACAGCAAGATGTAGCACATTAAAAGAGAATAATTATATTAAACTTAAACAACAGATAGCTATAGACTTGAAGAAATGGGAAAACTTGCAACTGTCATTAATAGGGAGAATTTCAACAATTAAGATGAATATTCTACCCAGAATCCTATTTCTCTTTCAAACAATACCAATTAGGCTCGGAAAAGACTATTTTGATGATTTAAATAAAATTATGTTGAAGTATATATGGCAAGGTAAGAAAGCGAGAATAAAGCTAAAGCTTTTGCAAGATGCTAGAATTAGAGGAGGTTTTGGCCTGCCCAATTGGGAATTGTACTATCAAGCTGCAAGTTTGATGTGGGTTAAGGAATGGATAACATTAAGAAAGACTAAATTGTTGACATTAGAAGGTCATGACTTGCTGTTGGGTTGGCATGCTTTTTTATGGTATAAGGGAACTAAAACACAGGGTTATTTTAGAAGACATTATATACGGGAGTCTTTGTGGTTAAACTGGGAGAAGATAAAAAGACAATGTTATTTGAAAATTCCAGTTTGGTTATCGACTATTGAAGCATTTTCCTATCCTATAATTTATAAGAAGGAACAAACAGTTAGATATGGGGAACTATTGGATGAAAAGGGTGAACTTAAATCAATACAAAATTTAGAGGAACAAGGTATAAAGATGAATTGGTTTTCATATGCGCAAATGCATTCAAGGTATGATGAAGATTCTAAAACAGAGGGATTCTATGATAAACAGACTGATCTAGATAAGATCTTGATGGGTACTGATGAGAAGGTGATTAAAAAATTATATGGTTATTTACTGGGAATTAAATTAGAAGAACAAGTTAAAGAAACTATGATTGCTTGGGGGAAGAATTTTGGATATGGGATTGATTTAGAGAAATGGCAAAAATTGTGGTCTCAAAATTATAAAATGACAATGTCAACAGCATATAAGGAAAATTTGTATAAGATGTTTTACAGGTGGCACTTTCCCCCGACAAGAATAGCAAGAATGTTCAAGAACAAATCTGAAAAATGCTGGAAATGTCATCAGATACCTGGCTCATATTACCATATGTAGTGGACTTGTGAGGACGCTAAAAAATATTGGACTAAAATTCGCATGTGGTTGGAAAAAATGACAAAGAAACGTATAGATTTGAAACCGGAGTTCTTTTTATTGGGAATCTTACCAGATACATATAGTAAAGATTTGAAATATCTGATTGTAAATGTGTTAACAGCGGCTAGGATTGTATTTGCTAAAAACTGGAAGAATGAGAAAATACCATCACAGGAAGAAATTATTAAGAAAATATTGGAATGTGCCGAGATGAGTAGATTGACATTTGAAATTAGAGAGCAAGAGGATAAACAATTTTATGAAATTTGGGATCTTTTTTATCAGTGGCTAGATGACAAAATACGATAATAGAATATTTAGAAAGTTAGATAGCAAGGAATACCTTTATTTTTTCTTTTGCCTATGTTATTTGACATTATATCTATAAAGTGTTTTTAGGATAGATTTGGTATGATTATATGATTTGTTATAGATTAAACTGTTTAAAGTATTGTTATCTCATAAAGCATGAATGATTAAAAGTATAGTCAAATGATTTATTAATAGCGATATTAGGATATATAAGTTTGGATTGACAATATGAGTTGTTATGTAATATAACTGTAATTGAGACTACGAAATGAATGCACAAAACTGATGAACCAACCGACACACTGTACGTACATAAGAGAGTTGTTTGTTTGTCTTGTTTGTTTGTAAAAAATCAATAAAATTGTTTTCAAAAAAAAAAAAAAAAAGAAATCTTTATTGTCCCCTTGGCATTTAATTTTCCCATTTAATTACCTATTGATGGCAAAGCGGATTTTTCCGATTTCTCATTCATCTCTGTTCACTGTCAACGTAAGGAAAGAGAGTGAAAAAAAAAACCTTTCCCTTTCCACTTTCATTCGCTGCTTCCGAATCTTCTTTGGGAGCGATGTATCTTTTTTAAAATTTAAATTCCAGGATACCTTAGTTGTTGCTTCTTATCCCGGTCAGCCAAAACTTTCACTTCTTAACTTCCTCCTGCACTTTCTTTTCCGGATGAGTGCTTCTTTGAGGCGGCCATTTCTGACCGCCGCTCTTACCGCCTTCGGGAAAGGGAGTTTAGCCAGCTGAGGAGGAAAGATGCGGCTTTCCTTGACCCTGCTGGAATCTCCCCCCTCTTCACTACCTCTACAGGGTGGCTTAGCCCCGAAGCCAGCTGGCTCGGGGCGCTCCAGTGGCAAGCCCAGGCAGAAACCACGCACAATCATGGATTCCTGCCTGCCGCCGAAGCCCTGCAAACCGGAAGTCCCCTAAAAATGCACTTTTCTGAAGTTGTAGAGATTTACCATTATTCAAAGAAAATGCAAAACTAAGTTTGAATAAAAGCAGTAAAAGGGGAGAAAAAAAAGGAATTGGTAAGGATAGCATCAAATAAAAAATATATATCTTGGCACAATTAAGAGAGCCATTTCTTATAAATTTTCTTGTAATGAAACAAGGAAGAGAGGAATACAAATATGGAATATAACATATGAATACACCCATTGGTTCTCCAGTTTCTGAATCATTTGTTCTTTGCTATTTTGATATATTATATAAAACTACTGAATTTGAATCAAAGCTCAAAAATATAGTTGATATGTTAAATAAAATTCATGAACAATTCTATGTTTATAAAGCATCTGATAGTACATGCAGCTTTTTTTGTAAAATACACAAACAGCAAAATCCATCTCAATAAAAGTATATTGTTAATAATGAAAGTGGGGAAAGGAATCTGTATAGTATAGACAGGCTTCTCTTAAAAACTTGTCCAGTAACAAACTTTCAACCCAATTATCATATAAGAGAATTTTTTTTGTCAAGGGGTCTGGGAGTTAAATCATACGTTGAACAGCTAAGGGAACTAAGTACTGTATGTTTAGCTAATGAGGAGAAGCTTCAGAACAGACATAATAGCATAGAATACTTAAGGACTGCCATAGGGAAAAGGGCGTCGATTTATTCTTCATAGCACCTGACAAGAAGCTATGGATGGAAGCTCATTGGGGGAGATTCAACTTGAAAATAAGGATGTATTTCCTGACTGTACAAAAGATGGGCAAGTGCATATGCTCACTGCTCATACAAATAGAGCATGCATGCGCTCATCCACTACTCACACAAGTTGGGATGTGTGTGCATGCATCGGCTGCCACTTCCGCAGCCCTTGTTCTGAACAGCTCAAGGTCTGGTAGCGAGCCGCAGCCTGGCAGCCTGCTTTAGTGTCTCCATATCCCTCTTAGTTGGGAGGATGACTTAGTGTACCACTAATGCATTGGGATCAACTCTCCAGATTTACAACTAACATTGATATGCTTTAAGTTTATCATCATTAATACAATAGCTATTACATAAAGAAGAATTTCCCTAAACTAATCAGAATTAATTTCTCTAAACTCTTAACTTTATCTAAATATCAATATGAAAACCATTCTCAGATGATGGATGGATGGATGGATGGATGGATGAATGGAAGGAAGGAAGGAAGGAAGGAAGGAAGGAAGGAAGGAAGGAAGGAAATTCTAAAATACGTACCTGATATCCTCTCATTTTTTGAAACCATGCTACTGTGTCACTTATGGTGTATACTCGAACATGGCCCATGTGAAGTTTTCCAGAAGGATATGGGAACATAGACAGGATGTAATACTTTGGCTTTGATTTCTAAAAAAAAATTTAAAAAAAACTCACTTTGAGCAGAAGTTATATAGTATTTTTTTCTTTTTTTAACCCTGCTTATTTAAAAAGGAAAGCTAAGATACATTTTAATAACTACAGATTAATTGTAATGTGGATCACAAAATGTTACATACAGCTTTTCCTTCCCATGATAAACATTTTTTGAGAATAATATGAATTCTCATCTTTCTCAAGAGGTCAAATTTTACTTATTAAGATTTTGGAAATAATGAGTTTGTAGTGATCCAGCTAGCACAAAAACGAATAATTCTGCAGGATTCATTATATAGAAGAAATTTCTTTATATACAATAATAAAAATGATGCATGTATACAATATCCATGCAGCTCTTGCAACATGCTAGAGAGAAGTAGCAAGTACAAGAAGCATTAGAACTCTCAAGCAAAGACAAAATGAACTCTTTTATACACAGAACAGTTAAGCTAAGCGACGCCTAGTCTCCAAGCCGTCTCGCATGGCTCACACAACAACTCCTGTGTCTCAGTCACCAAACAGTCCCCATTGGCTTACTTGTTGCCATGCCTATTCCAGTTCATGAATCCTTATACACTGACACTGTTCCCTTTATGAGTGGAATAAACACAAAACCAAATAACTTAATATTCTTCCCATAGTGCACTCCACCCAATGGCTTGGTCATTATATCTGCCAGATTGTTCTCTGAAGAACAGTGAAGCAAGCTAATTAATTTATATTTGATGGCTTTTCTTGCATTACAATATTTAATATCTACATACTTGCTTCTTTTTTTACTCTGTCACCTGTTGCCATTTTAATGCAAGCAGCATTATCTTCAAACACTGTTACAGCTTCATTTACCTTTATGTTTAAATCCTTTAACAGTTGTACATACCAAGTTGCCTCTGAACAAAGTTCAGATAAAGCAATAAATTCTGCTCCACAGTAGAAATTGCTACAGTTGTTTGTTTTCTGGACTTCCCAACCAATTAAAGCTCCTCCAAATAATACCACAATCCCAGAATTGGACTCCCTGGATTTTACATCATTGGCATAATCATTGTCAACATAACAATTCAACTTTAATTCTTCAGAGATCTGTATTTGAAGACCCAAATTCACAATTTTCTTCAAATACTTGAGAATCCTTTTTACACCCATCCAAATGCAATTGTGCAGCAGTAAAGCTACTTAAGATGCTTACTGCACACGCTATGTATGGTAAGGAGCACTGTGACAGATATAACAAGCGCCCTATTGCAGACTGATATATCTCTTGATCACAGGCTTCACTTTTGTCCTTACCCAAATTTGTATGAAAATCTGTGCTCATAGGTGTTGGAGCAGAATTACAATCCTTCATGTTATATCTCTCCAACAGCTGTTCAATTTTTCTTCTTTTGACTGAAAACATAGCCACCTTTCTCAGTGTTTTTATCTCTACACTAAAATAATGTTGTATTTCACCTAAATTTTTCAATTCAAATTTCTTCTCTGACTAGCAAATTCTTTTACCTGTGGCACATCTTTTGCAATGAAACAAAGTTCATCCACAAATGCTAATAATTGACAAACCCCACCTTGTCACTTTCCAGTATATATAACCATCAGCCTTGCAACCCTTGAACCCAAGACCCTTTAATGCCATATTTCTATTGAAACAGATATTTCAATTCCTGGCTGACTGCTTCAGCTCATAAATGGCCTTGTTCAATTTATAAACAGTATTAGGCTTTTTATTTTCATACCCTGGTGTTTGAACCATGTAAATTTCTTCCTCTAATTCTGCATTGAGGAATGCTGTGGTTATATCAAAATGCCAAATTTTATGACCATGTGCTGCTGCTAACACTGGTGCCAACCTTAAGCTTTCGTTCTTTACAGTTGGTGCGAATACCTCATCATAGTGCACATTTTACCTCTGTGAAAAACCTTGTGCTACTAATCTTGCCTTATATTAGACCTCATTGTTGGGTAGTGCTTTCTTTTTTTTACCCATTTACATCCTATAGCTTTGCAACCCTGTGGCAAAGTCATCCATGTGAACACTTTATGTTCATCCATGGATTTAATTTCTTTGTCCATAGCTTCTTTCCACTTCACTCGTTCAGTTTTGGGTAATGCCCATACTTCCTTTTTTTCCCAATAATTTTTTTATTTTTATATTTTAGAAAACATCTCTTTTGGTGAACAACATGGTTCCAGGTTTTTACATTTCAATACAAACATGACCATAGTTACATATTCATCTTTCGTATCCAATTTCATATCTTATTATTACTTATTCCATTTTCCTTTAAATATTCTCAAATATTCTTATATTCATTACACTTTTATTCAATTCATATCATAACTTATTTCATTTTTCTTTAAATATTCTCATATCTTGTTTTATATATTATCTAAGATTCTTATTTCTATATTAATTACACATATTTACTTTTATCTGTCACATTTACAATTTTATCACACACTATTATTCCATTTATTGTTCAATAGGTTTCATCCTAATTCTAATAATCCAAAAGTTGTCCCCGTTAATTGTCAATTTGAGTTTGCCTTATACACTCCCCCAATTTATTCTGTTTAAATCTTTATAAAGATTTATCATAATATAGTCATTTTTAATTATTACATTCTACATTAATAACAATAATCCCCTAACTACTAAATATCATATATGCATATATATATTTGAGAGAGATTCTGCATGGTATTCTTTTCCTTAATTACATTCTAAATCATCTATTTAGTTTCAAAAATATTAATCAATTCAATTAATTTTAGAAATTGATAATAATCTTTCCATTACAATTCTCATAGCTCTCATAGCTTTAACTTTATTCATCACTTTATTAAATATCAATTAATATACTTATAATAAATTCCCATTTCCATATCTATTTCAATTAAATCTATATCTTGTTTAACAATAATCCTTAGGGGGGAAAAATCAGTTCCTTTCTCTTAATTCTCCTTTTTTCCTTTATTATTTCCCTCCATTTCTTATTCCAATTATTTATTTTATCCCACTCCCTCTCTTGATTTTTCCTCTATAATCTCCTCTTCTGCTGTTTCCTTTCCTTTTGTTTAATTTTCCAAACAATTCCCCCTTTAATTAATACATCAAACCTCAAGTTTTTAGCTTTAATTCTTTTTCCCCCTGTTTTAATGTTCGTTGTTCCACTTGTTCTTTAAAGCTGGTTTCCTCTTTATTTAATTCTTCCCCCTCTGGTTCTCTTTGTTGTTCTTCAATCTGCATCGACATTTCTAATTTTTGTAGTATAATACTGCACATTTCCAAGCTTTCTTTCATCAATCCTTCATATTTTGAAGTTCCAATTTTATTTCCACACATAATTCTCCCATTTTGTACGCTTCTTCTTTTTCCTCCCTTTCTTTAATATTTATGTCCAGTCCAATTGTTCAGTAGTTTATTACAACCAACATCTTTTATATTTAATTTCAACAGTTAGTGTCCATAAATCTTTGTTTCCAGGTTCCTTCTGTTCCAGTTTTTTCCCAAAGTCACCAAATAATGGAATTCCTTTTATTTCCTTTCAAATTCAAATTCTAAAAAGACCAAACACTTTTCAAAGAGTCACTGAAATTTTTCCTTTACCATTAGGTGGCAGTCTCAGTTCTATTTCCATGTTTCACCCTTTCTTTCCACTTTTTCCCCTTTTTAAACTTTTATTAATTTCATTAATTCCAGTTATTAGCTATTATTTCTTTTTAACACATTCAATTCCAGAATTTAATTATGCCTATTTAGTGCCAAAATCCAAACAATTATCCAGTTTAATTTCCAAGTCTTTTGTAATCCAATATTTTCCTTTGAATTTTCCACCTCCAAATTAATTATTTTCAAAGTCCAAAGCCAATTTCACAATTTCACAATTTTTTTTACTCTCTCTCTCTGGTCAGCGCTTCTACAATCTTTCATAAAATGGGCGTTGGTTCTTACCTGACACGCCATTTCTCTGGAGCCGTGAGGATCATCCAGAGAGTGGGAGGTGCTTCAGTCTGCATCGTTGTAGGCTGAGCTTAATTACTGAGGATTGCTCCGCCCTTCACCACGTGGCTGCCTTGCAATCCCCAGTTTACGCGAAGTCGAGAGTGAATAGAAGATCTTGCTCTCATCTTACTATGCTAAAGGGTTCATTGGCCGAAACAAGACCCCACCAGACGGAAAACTTAATAAGGGTGGGGCTGGATGATCCTCACGGCTCCAGAGAAATGGCGTGTCAGGTAAGAACCAACGCCCATTCTCCTGGGAGCCGTTCGGATCATCCAGAGAGTGGGACATACCAAAGCTTGGCTGTCCTGCGGGAGGGAGTCCGTCTGGTCCCGCAATCTCTGCGGTTCCTTGAGGACTCACTGGAGGACTCGTCTACCAAACGAAGCCTCCGCCGAAGCAAATATGTCGATCTTATAATGTCTAATAAAGGGAGAAGGGGAGGCCCAAGTGGCCGCCCGACAAATGTCAGCAATTGGAGCCTGGGTGGCCCAAGCAGCAGAGGTAGCAGCACTTCTGGTGGAGTGTGCCGTTATTCCGCTGGGAATGGGCAGGGCCTGGGACAGGTAAGCTTGGGAAATAGTAGCTCTAATCCAGCGGCCGATGGTTGACAGGGACACTTTGTGGCCTAACGATTTGGGCTGAAAGGAAAGGAATAGGGATTCGGATCTCCTGAAGGGCTGGGTACGTTTAATGTAAATGTAGAGGGCCCGTCTTACATCTAGGGTGTGCCAAAGCTTCTCCCTTTCCCGCGAGGGATTGGGGCAGAAGTTCGGAAGTGTGAGTTCCTGTGCCCTGTGGAAGGCTGAGTTGACCTTGGGCAAGAAGGTAGGATCCGGCCGGAGAACTATCCGGTCGGCATGGAAGATGCAAAGGTCCTTCCTCATCGACAAGGCCGCTATCTCTGATATTCGGCGAGCCGAAGTAATGGCCACCAGAAACACAACTTTGAATGTTAGGAACTGGAGAGTGGATTCCCTGAGCGGCT